ACTGCTGCTGTTACGTGCTGTGGAGTCGGTTCCGACTCATAGCAACCGTGTACAGGATTTCCGAGGCTTCAGTCTTTACGGGAGAAGAAACCCTCATCTTTCTCCCGTGGAACAGCTAGTAGTTTCGAACTGCTGACCTTAAGGTTCACAGCCCGATTCATGACCACTACACTCCCAGAGCTCCTTTAGGAGGAAAGAACTAGGCCTTGTTTAATTTGTGATTTGAAAACACCTACAGTGTGAGTTTCCTGGAATCCTGCTATGGCACTTGTAAGATAAACACTGGACAGCTAACTGTAAGGTTGTGGTTCAAACCCAATAGCTGCTCCTCAGAAACCCTATACAGGGTCACTATGAGTCCTAACCGACTCTGTGGCACGTAACAACAGCAAAGTGGGTTTCCTAGTGCCCTACCCAGGTTTTGTTCCTTCCTGGTGGCCTGTAAAATTTGGACTAACTGCGACTTGAACCGGGAACCCTGGTAGCAAGTGGATCACAAGTTGGACTGCTAAACACAAGGTCAGCAGTTTGAATTTACCAGCTGCTCTGTGGGACAATGGTGAGACATTCTGCTCCCGTAAAGATTTACAGCCTTGGAAGCCCTATACAGGGTTGCTGTGTGTGTCAGAACTGACTCGGTGGCACGCAACCATCATCATCATCAATTACAAGTTGAATTTTTACTGTCTTGGACTAACATGTTTCCTATTAGTGTTTATACTCTATCATCCCTCTGGATTAGACAGTGCTGAGTACCAAAATAAGCATTTTCCAGGAAGATTTCTCAGTACTAGGTCACTATTCAAAGTTTCGGAGCTGACTACACCCTGGGTCTTTGAGCATGGGCGAGATTTGGGATGGACGGATCAAGTTTTCCAGAGAGAGCTCAGTGGAAATGCACAAGTGTCACCCCAACTCTGGCGGACTGCTGTATAAATTAACAGTCCCTGCCTGGCAGCAGTCCTGGTGTGACACTTCAGACCAATGCACTGGACTGCTAGATTTGAACTGTAAGGTCAGTGGTTCAAGCTCACCAGCTGCTCCTTGGAAATCCTATGCAGAATCGCTGTGCACTGAGCAACAACAAAAGCCTGGCAGAGGATCCCAGACCCCAGAAAGCTTATTAAGCCACTAAACTCCACATCAGAGATTTGCTGAGACAACTGTCCTGGAAATAAATAAAGAGTGTTAACCAGTGGTGAAAGCTGGGGTTTTTGTGCCTGAAAATGGAATTTTTGAAAAAGTCAAATGACACTTTGGGGGCTCTGACAGTTATAGAAAATGGGGCCCAGAGTTCTGTTCCCTCACTGCCACCACAGCCATTGCCACTCCACCGGCAGACTCCTTCCCCCCTGTCTGTAGCTCAGACAGTGCCCACCTCAGTGAGCTTGGCTGAGTGCTGGAATGTGGGTCAGGTAGGTGTCTGTCCAGGGTTGGCAGAATGTGGCCCTCTGGTCCCCAGGGAATGTGAAGGAGACCTAGCCAGAGAGGCTGGTAAAGGAACCTCAATGGACCCAAAATCCTAGGAATCCTGTCTCTGTGAAGGGTGGGGCAATTGAGTCAACACCATAATCTGGTCACCAGAGGTTGTGCCAGGGTAAGAGGGCATGACATTGTGTTCCAGCTGACCTGAGTTTGTCTTGATGTTGTTGTTGTTAAGTGCCTATAGTTGGTTTCAACCTTTTATCGTGTTTCTAAAGAGCAGCTGGTGAGCTTGAACCTCCAGCTTTGTGGTTCAGACCAACTTTGCAGTACCTCACATTAACCCACCGGTGCCTCACCAGGACTCCTTGTCTGAAGGCACTGCACAGAGACAGCTGCTGCATATTGTTGTTGTTAGATACCCAGTTGATTCCAGCTCATGGTAATTCCATGTGACAGAGTAGAGCTGTCCCTAGGCTGTAATCTTTATGGGAGCAGATTTCTTGGTCTTTTTCCTGCTGTCAACTTTTTGGTTATTAACCAAGCACTTAACCACTGTGCCACCAGGACTCCTTGAGAGCAACACAGATATGCCTATTTTGCAGGATGGTCGAGTACCTAGTCATTCCAGAGGCATCTGTTATGGAAGTCATTGGTATTAAACAGACATATTTGACTGAATAACTCAGTACTGGTTAGATTGTGGAGGTCTTTCTGCAAACATATATGCCAGTTCTGGAATCCTTTGGGCTGCGGCAAAGGGACAGTATCAGCAAGGCAGCCAGAGCCTGCATGTATGCCTGGGAAGGGAGGGCAACTCAGGAGCTAGCTCACCCACGGGGCATTTGGGACCTAACTCACCCACGGGGACTGGACTTGGGTGCCCCCCAGTGTGCGTCAGAGCAGAGCAGAGAGAGGTGATTGTGCAGCCAGCAGAGCATTCTGGTTGTGACAGTGAGTGTGGCCCTGAGGGGAAGGGTGTGGACAAGGCAAGGACAAATGTGGGACATGATGTGGATAGGGTTAAAGCCGCCCTTTACCCGCTGGCGCCTGGTGGAGGCAGCCTAGCCGCCACGGCTTCTCCGATTGCAGGGCGGCGGCAGACGGCTCCTCCAATGGCAAGGGGGCGTCCCGTGCTCACTGCCTCCGCCTCCTCCCTCCCGGCTGCAGTGCCTGGGCCGCGGCTCACTCGGCTCCCCGCCTGCCGCCTTCCGTTGCAAAGCATTTCTGGGAGCTGCATGTGGGTGACGCAGCAGCATTGTTCGCAGGCACAGGAAGCCGCGCGAGCTGAGGGCTGCCAGGGAGCTGGAGCTGTGCACTGCTCCGCCGGGAGCCTGCAGGGCTCAGGCTGGGTCGCCCGGCCACAGTGCTCAGAGCTTCCAGAATGTTCAGATAAAGCGGATCTTCCTGGAGGTAGACAATCTAACTCCTTCAGCACAACTTCCAACACAGAAAACAAAACAAAGACGCTGGGAAAACTTCACCCAAGAGCCTCAGCAGCTCCCGAGCGGCGAGACGCAAGGTCAGGCGGATGGGCGCAGCCCTTTCTGGTTCGGGGTATCGTGTGTGACTGTGGGGATGGTCTCAGTGGACAGGCAAAAGGACTGCCTGCTGAGCTGGCCAGGGCACAGCCTTGTGTCTCGGTGGTCGAACCATCTCTGCACTTGTTCCTCACCTGGTGGCATGTGTTTGTGAATTGGGTTGCTTAGCTTGGGGGACTCTTCGCCCCTTGTCTGCCCAGACAGCCTCAGTTTGACCCTTGCCTATGAGCTCTGGGATGTGAGTTTGGATTCGAAGGTGCTCCCTGATGCCAGGAGACCAGACCAGTGGCTGCCTTCCTACCCTCTTCCCCCGAGCTCCCACCCCAAGCCCCCTCTGGTGAGGCCGGTGGCTTTATATGGTTCTGGAAGGGAGCCTGCTTTTTTCCCTGTGAGCAGGGCGTGCTCCGTTGAACAGCCCTGCAAAACCGGGTTTGGGAGGAAATCTGCATCAGCCCCCAGCCCCACCCCATCATCGAGTCTGGTTGTGTCCCCAGCAGACCGACCCCCCACTGAGCAGTCAGGTCGAGTTTGACCGCCCTGGGGAGAGCTGCGAAGTTCCCTTCCCACTCTGTGTGGTCGGCTGTGCTGAGAGTGGAAAGTCCCTGTTTGTGGACAACGCTGCTGGGGCAGAGGAAATGGGCAGAGTCCTGCTCCGCCCAGGTGGGGGAGGGGAGAGAGCGCTCCCGTCTCACGTTTTCAATGGACCTGGATTTTCACCCTAGGGAGCTGGGGAGCCCATACCAGAGCCTTGTCCCACGTGGCACACACCCCGCCTCTTCACCCCCACGCAGTGTGGTGCTAACAGGAGGCTCCAGAATAGGGTGCCATAGCAACTTGAAGTAAATAAAACGGCTGCAAATGAAATCTGTTTGGGGGAGGGTGAGAGGCATCTGGAGACTTGGCAAAGGAAGTCTTCCTGGAGGAGCCTCTTGGGCTTGACTTAGAGGGTCTTTCCCAGTTTCATCTCTGGGGCTGGGAACCTGAGGATGAAAGATCTTGGGAGCCAGGACCTCCTGCTTCAAAAAGTCCTGGTCTTCAGACCCACAGCGCACCGGATGGTTGTTAGAGACTGCCTAGGCATGTTGGCCTATGTAGGATCAAAGTTTTGCTTTTTTCTGAAACAGTTAATATCCTGTACTCACCTAAGGCCTCCAGGAAGGGAATGGTGTAACTTGTCTCCTGGGTTGAGTTCCTCTGCTGCTGCCATTGCCTTAGGGTGCCTGAGGTCAGAGGATGAGGGATTTCATTGGCTCGGGTTTGGGCTTCAGAAATTTCTATCTGAAGCATAAAAGGTTTGTTTCAAAATAACAGTCCGTGTGATTCACTTAAATGGCATTTTTTACTGCCGCATTGTCCCTGAAGTCATTTAAACTTGGTTGGCTGAAGCCATGAGAACTATCACTCCATAGATGCAGCCTGCTCCTTATACAGGAATACTGAGAGAGAGAGAGAGTGTGTGTGTGAGAGTGTGTGTGTGTGTGTGTGTGTGAGTGAGAGAGAGTGGGTGGGTGTGTGGTAGAGAACAGTTGATTTGAGATTGAGATGTCTGTCACCAACCTGCGTTGAATCAGAACATTAAGGTTCTGGTGTTCATAACATTAAAATTCTCCAATAGCCAGTCATCTCTGTGCCACTTTGCAAAATGAGGGCACTACTCACTACCTGATAGTATTCATTAAGAGGTGTCGGAAGGTGAAGGGGACATACTGCTGTAGGTTTAGTGTTGTATGTGGAACTGCATGACAAATCGCACTTGTCACCACACTGCCTGCTGCTGGCCTGAGTGTAAGTGTAAACAGCACAGTGGATACACAAGTGAGGGCTTGGGGGCAAAGATAAGGGTGGAGTCTTGGAGAACAACACTAGTCTAAGTCTGTGTTTTACTTGTTTTGCGGTGAGCCTCTGTATGAAGGGAAAATGTGGGCTGTTGCCAGCCGCCCTCCCCTTGGTGTTTGGGGGATTGGTGCTGAGTCTGCACACGCTTGGGATGGTTGGCCCTTTGTTCACCAGGCCTTGCTTTTCTCTCCTCTCTCTTAGATTTTGCTGGAGGAGCTTGCCAACAGTGATCCCAAGTTAGCCCTTACTGGAGTCCCTATAGTCCAGTGGCCAAAAAGGGATAAGGTAAGAAATTCTTCTGCAGGCTCTTCAGGCTGCTTATGGGCTTTACTGGCCAATCACTGCCATTCAAAAGGAAAAATAATTGGAGAGAAGACAGCTTTGGGGGTGGAGGCATTGATACAAACGGACAGAAAATCATTACTCCATTGTGTGTTGACTCCTAGGTCAGGATAGTTATAGGGACTGTCTTAGCAAAATTATCAAACTGAGAAGCCTGATCATTCAGATTCAGGTGCCAAAGTACGCATTTGGTCCCTAGAATGGACCCAGCGTCTGTCCTCTTAAATAGGGTTTAGAACACACTACAGTAAAGAATGATTCACAAGGTCAGGGCAAGGGGATCTTCATTGTGGTGACACCATGCTCAAGATGCCCCTGATTCTGAACTTTTTAGCATGGAATTAAAGAGAAGAAAGGAGTTGACCACCAGCTGATAAATTGTCACTTAAGAATTTTAAGACCTCTTCGGTAAATAAAGTCTTGGGTAATATTTTCCCACATTGTCCTCTGTAAGATAGTTTTGGTAACGTGGTGGTTATGAATCGGGCTGTTAATCTCACGGTCAGCAGTTCAAAACTGCCAGCGGTTCTGCGGGAGACAGATGAGGCTTTCTGCTCCCGTAAAGATTTACAGTCTCAGAAACCCTATACAAGGTCGCTATGGGCGACTCCACAGTACATCACCACCACCAAGGGTGTTTATTAAATAGAAGCAAGTGATCGCATTCTAATCCTCACTGAGTCTGGCAAATATATGAGCCCCCTCTTTAGTGTTCCCAGTGGAATGTGCACAGTCATCGGATTCTAAGGGTGTTTAGGCAGGAGCAGGATGTGAAGGTTGAAAGATGTCTTGAAAGGATCACCTCCTCCTCCGTAGATGAAGGAGCCCACCTGGCCTCTGCTTGGCCACATGGGCCACATCCATCCCTGCTTGCTGTTGCGTATTTTGTGTAAGAAAAGTGTTTAAATCACAGTTGAAAAATTAAAGACGTTTTAAGAGACATGGTCCTTGTCCTTGAAAAGGTCACAAGAGTAAATATAAGGTGCTGAAATTCTAACTAAGTATCCAAGAGATACATTGCACACTTACATGTTAGCATTATTGGAGTGTCCCATTCGACAGGCCCCCACCCCCCACACACCCCCAGCTGAGACTTGGTGTTTCATTCCTAGCCAGGTAGACTGAATCAGACAAGGTCCTCAGGTGACTCTTAGAGGTATACATACAAATGTATACTTATGTATACATAAGAGTCACCTGGGAATCTATTGAAATCACCTGGGCATCTTGTTAAAATGAACTGGTTCCGAGAACTAAAGAGGTGAATGAGACCAGTTGCACCCTCCAGCAGTTTGCTGTCTTGTTTAGGAGAATATTCTGAGCTCCAGTCTTCAGGATACGGATCATCTTGGAGTAACAGTATATAGCACATATCCCAAAAGCTTCAGAGAGGGCTGCGTCTATAGCGCAACAGAAAGACTGAAGTAGTAGACTGAAGGGTTAGGGCAGGGCTGGCAAACTATCTGTAAAGATCCAGATTGTAAATACTTTGTTTTGGTGGGCCATATGGTCTTTGTTACAACCTCTCGGTTCTTTCATTGTAACATTCAAGCAGCCATAGACAGTGCATACATAATCGTGAGCATAACTTGTGTTCCAACAAAATGTTATTTACAAAAATAGGCAGCAGGCCACATTTAACCCAAGGGCTATAGTTTGCTGATGACCCCTGAGCAAAGTATACTACCATGTAATCTACCTCACCAACCCATAAAGCTACTTGATATATTTGACCTCACTGTTTTCTCTTTCCAGCTTAAATTCCCCTCCCGGCCAAAAGTGCGGGTTCCTACCATCCCCATCACCAAGCCTCACACCATGAAGCCAGCTCCACGGTTAACACCTGTGAGGCCAGCTGCCGCCTCCCCCATGGTGTCAGGAGCCAGACGGCGACGAGTGCGCTGTCGAAAATGCAAAGCCTGTGTGCAGGGAGAGTGTGGTGTCTGCCACTACTGCAGGGACATGAAGAAGTTTGGGGGGCCCGGGCGCATGAAGCAGTCCTGTGTTCTACGGCAGTGCTTGGCAGTGAGTGATCTGCTGGGTAAAGAATCTGGGGGCAGGCGGTGCCAACGGGGCTGAAATTTGTGTGGAGTGTAGAGAGATTTCTGAGTTGGAAAGGGAAAGTTCCCCCCTTTTTTTAACTTTCTGCATTTTGCACCTTTGTTCCCTGGGTTGAAAAGGACAGGATCCAGCACTAAAGAAGATCTAATCTTTCAGTCTTACCCAGTTTTCAAACAAGGGACTAACATTTGACAGGCAAGTTACTGCCCTCTGTCCCATCAAGGACAGGTCAACTGAAAGGACAATTGAAAAATAAACTAGTCTCTGGTGGTCTCTATTTCCCAGGCAGCTTATTCTCCCTGCCAGCACACTTTTTTCTCTCCACTGTGTCTCCATGCTCTTTAAGTGTTTACTGGAGTCTCTGGGTGGCACAAGCAGTTCAAATTCACCCAGTCACCTTTGAAGAAAATTGTGGCGATATTATTTCCAAAAGCCCTTGACTGCCCTCTGAAACACAGTTCTGCTCTGACAAGTTCAGGGTCACTGGGGGTTGGAATCGACTCTGCAGCACTTGGTTTGGTTTTTTGATTCAAGGACTATAAGAACCAAATCTCGCCTCTGCAGTTGAAGGGTACCTGAAATGATAAGGATCTAAGATTTCTGGGTGTCTGTCTTTGTTCTCTTCAGCCTAGACTGCCTCACTCAGTCACATGTTCCCTCTGTGGTGAGGTGGATCAGAATGAGGAAACACAGGACTTTGAGAAGAAACTCATGGAATGCTGTATCTGCAACGAAATCGTACATCCCGGCTGCCTCCAGGTAAGCAGCGGCTTCTGGAACCTCACCACGGGTGGGGTGTCTACAGGTACTGAGTGGTGGGTCACTTCTCACAAGAGGTTGCCAGTGTTCCTCCTGTGGGTTTATGGGGTTGTCCATGTGCGGCAGGCACTGTTCTCTACCCCAAGTCAGAACGGGAGAGCCAACCCTCCTGGAAGGTGTTTGGAGTCCCCAGGGCAGTCTGGGGAGTCCTGGTGTGGCACTGTGGACTAAAGCACTGGATCACAGGTCTGTTTGAACCACAGGGTCATTGGTTCAAACTCACCAGCTGCTCTTTGGAAACCCTCTACAGGGTTTGCTGTGAGTCGGAACAGACCCAACGGCACTTACGGACAACAACAACAGGCCTGTCTAGGACTGCTTAGTTGTCTTCAGGATGCCTCAGCCCTTTAGTTGTCACTGCTGTCTTCGGCGTACCTCTGGATAATTGCTCCAGAAAGATGGTGAGGGCACTCCTGGTAGCTAGCATGAAATAGGTGCTCGTGCACACCTGAGGAGCTTACAGCATGAGGCTATTCAGAGCTCCACCCAAGATTCATTCTTTAAAGTACAATGATGCTGGACTTTCTTGGCCTTCTCAGGAGGTGTCAACTGTCCCATGACTGCCACCTGACGGGCAATGATTATAAGATGCTGTCGGTGGTGGAAAGCATCCCAATTTCAGAACGATTCAATGTGGAAATTATGCAGCTTAAAATTGATGAACTAGGTTCGTATTTGAATTTTTCAGGGGGTGATAGTGGCAAATAGGAAGTATTTACCGAGTGCCAGGTGCTATTTTTTATCCTCATTTTACAGTTGAGAACCCAAGCGATCATAACTATCAGGGTTTCAAACCAGTTCATTCTGGTTCAACCCCCTACAGAGCCTTTGCCTTTCCACTCCGGACAGACTGAAGCAGAACTGACATCGTATAACCAGTTCCCCAGGGGATTCTTTCCATCTGGTTATAATGGAGGTTCGGATGCAGTCTGTTAGATGGAAAGCAAATTTTCAGTGGGGCTTGGACTAGAATGAATGGGTCTGGAACCCTGATAACTACTGTGCCCCACAAAACTACCATAACCCCATTCCTAGTTCCGTCAGTTCTGTCAAAGTTACCAGAGACCCTCGAGAAGGCTCCTGGGACTCATACAGCCAAACTGGTCAAGCAGTCACACATGAGGGTGACCCATTTCCCCGTGACTGGGAGTGTCTCCACAACTGACAACCCTGGCTCTCTGTCTTTTTTGTGGGCCCCTGTATTTAGAATTGGTTCCTCCCAGCCGTTGGTGCTTTTGTTATTTGTGGTTCGTGTTATTAGTTGATGAAGGAGACTGAAGAGGCAGACTTTTTTAACATCCCACTCTGTCTGCAGATGGATGGAGAGGGCTTGCTTAACGAGGAATTGCCAAATTGCTGGGAGTGTCCAAAGTGCTACCAGGAGGAGAGCGCTGAGAAAACCCAGGTGAGACGGCCACCCGCACTGGTTCACACTGGGAGGAGACAGGAAGTGGCAAGTCAGGGAGACTGCCCTCCCCTTGCTGGGCCCCATTACTGCTTTGGCTTCTCTGACCCGAGGACATAGGTCTGGTTAGATTTGGTTTGAGATCTTTTCTCACTGGTTAATTACTTGATTTTTTTTTCTTTTTGTTTGCATTTAATGGCTGTTTTATTATGCTACTGGATGTGGTTCTACTTGGGGTCCTAGAAAGAGAGGGACCCCAGCCAGGCCTGTGAGGATTAAGCAGACCAACTCCTGAGGAAGGACACTGGGGGTGCCACTGCCAACTGGTAATGGCAGCCTGTGCCTGGAGTTTCCAGTTAAGCTGGTTCATATTTTTGTCATCTTCCCCTTTGTGGCCTTGCAGAAAGCCTAGTACCTGGATCTGTTCTATGAAGGCAGCCCCTCCCCCAGAGGGGACCGGTGCCATGACCTTGCCCTAGAGCAGCTGCCATTGCTGGCCGTACTGGGCACCAGCAATATCAAAGGGACAGGAAGACTCTGGTAACTTGGGCCTGTCAAGACAAGACCTACTCAGGGTACAAACAGTAAGAGGCAGGTTTACCCAAGTCACGTCCACACCCTGTGACACCCCTCAGGTGTACTGTGTGGGCTGGAGAGCACAGACTCTCGCCATCTTGCTGCTTCTGCTGTCTGGGCTTCCCCTTTCTGCTTACATTTTTGACCTCACAATGGCTGGTTAAGCAGAAAAAGGAAGAGGAGGAACCAAGCTAGATAACACTTAGGGACATAGAATATCTCCTGAAGGAAAATCTGATGTACTGAGGTATCCTTGGTAGAGACTGTGTCACACCTGGCCAGGGTGGGCCCCGAGGAAGGACATATTCTGCCGGAGCACATGTGCCACAGGATGAGACTGTGGTCCTTCATGGGAATGTTGGCCTCAGTTCCCCTTGCTCCTCCTGAGCTGATGTGCTCTGCTTCTCTCTCGGTGGCGGGTGTTCTCTAGGGACAAGGTGGCTAATGATGGAGCTGCCCTCAGCTCTGGTAGAATGGAAAGTCAGCGGAAGGCCCTCACTATATGGACTCGGCCTCCCACTGCACACAGTGTTGGGTGGCTGCTGGGTTTTCCTCACCACTGAAAATGGTCAGGGTACATGGCCACAGAGTTGTAGCCTTTTTAAAGGGAATTAAAATTCAAAGGTTGGAACAAGAGGTGGGAATGGGTATGGAATCAAGCGGCTCCCAGTGTGGATCCCAGTCCTGTGTGCTTGGGCACAGAATTTCCTCTGGGAGGGTTTTACTCTTTACTCCATTTGTTCTTGGTGCTGACCAAGAACATACAGGTTCTGGACCCCAGAGTGCTGCCGAGAGGCTCACCCTATTACTCCTAAGGGTTTGGGAAAGAGGCCCTAACATTGCTTTCTTGGACCTGTTTTACAGAAGCGGAAAATGGAAGAGAGTGATGATGAAGCCGTGCAAGCCAAAGTCCTGCGGCCCCTGCGGAGCTGCGACGAGCCCCTCACACCCCCACCTCACTCCCCCACTTCCATGCTGCAGCTCATCCATGACCCGGTTTCACCCCGGGGTATGGTGACTCGGTCCTCGCCTGGGGCTGGCCCCAGTGACCACCACAGTGCCAGCCGCGATGAGCGCTTCAAACGGCGGCAGTTGCTACGGCTGCAGGCCACAGAGCGCACCATGGTACGGGAAAAGGAGAACAACCCCAGCGGCAAAAAGGAGCTGTCTGAAGTTGAGAAAGCCAAGATCCGGGGATCGTACCTCACTGTCACGCTACAGAGGCCCACCAAAGAGCTCCACGGGACATCCATTGTGCCCAAGCTGCAGGCTATCACCGCCTCCTCTGCCAACCTGCGCCATTCCCCCCGTGTGCTCGTGCAGCACTGCCCCGCCCGAGCCCCCCAGCGTGGGGACGAGGAGGGGCTGGGGGGAGAGGAGGAGGACGAGGAGGAGGCGGAGGAGGATGATGACAGTGCAGAGGAGGGGGGTGCGGCCAGACTGAACGGCCGGGGCAGTTGGGCTCAGGATGGAGACGAGAGCTGGATGCAGCGGGAGGTCTGGATGTCTGTCTTCCGCTACCTCAGCCGCAGAGAACTTTGTGAATGTATGCGCGTGTGCAAGACGTGGTATAAATGGTGAGCAGGGATACGGGGCCTCCTCAGGAGCAGGGCGTGGGAGTAAACGGCAGCTTGTCCCCACCAGAACAGCATGCCCCTTGGCATCTGAAGGCGCGCTGGGTCCTGGAAGGAGGAGGGAATCAACCCATGTGTTTTCATACAGTGGGTCCTACTAAAGACAGGCTCAGTGGTGCCTGCCAGTGTCATCGAGGAAATCAGACTTTGTGCTTCCTCTCCCTGCTCTGTCATTATTGGGGGTGGGAAACTGGTTAGGGGGTTGTGCCAAACTGTCAGGGTCTTAAGGGCTGAGAGTTCTCCCAGATCAGCTGGACTCTCAGCACATACTGTGCGGGACTGTCATGTGCCCGTCACGCTCCTGTGCTGGTGACACATGGGTGACTACAGCTAAGTCTCCACTTCCATCACCTTTCCATCTATAAGAGAAGTGGACATGCTTTTCCATTGAATGGGAAGGTGCTCACCATTTTAGTTCTCAGCCCCAAACCTGGAACAGAATCCCTTTCACCAGCAGGCAGAGTTGAGTTTTGAAGCTCCCTAAAACTTTAAATGTCCTTCTTAATGAGACCTGTCACTTTTCCCGGTTGGGTAGAGACCTAGGAGGAAACATCCCTTGTGATAATGAGCAAAGTTTCCCTAAGGCATTTCTGGCTTTTCCCTAAACTTCGAAGATGCACCATGATATGTTGATAACCCCCTACTGCAACAGTTCTCAGTGGTGCCAGAGCCAGCGGCATCGCTTGGGAGTGAGTTACAAATGCAGGTTCTCAGGGCCCACCCTAGGCTTCTGGAATCAGAATCTTTATGGATGGAGCCCAGCAATCTGGTTAACGTGTTCCGTAATTCTGACAACATGCTAATGTTTGAGAACCACTGCTCTCTTTTAAGCTGCTCATTGCTACCCTAGAAATTTCATGTGCAATTGGAGGCATTTTAGCTGTCTTTATACAAAGAAAAACTATTTTTTACAAACATGAGTGGATTTCCCAAATCTGAATTAGTATGTGATATACCCAAATCTTAATATTGTTTTCTGTAGGGCTAGTGGGTCTGCTTGGCTTCACCCCCTTGGTTTCTACGTTGAAGCACTTAAGACTCCCCTTATCTGCCATCTCTCCGTTTCTGCCAGGCAGCCTCCAAGCTAGGCAGGGGCAGTAAAACACTGAACTGAAGCCTCATGACGCAGTGCTATTTGTGATGTTTGCGTTTGTGTACTGCAGGGCAAAGGCAGCCCCTTCCTTTCAGGTCTGGTCTGGACCGAGCACTGAGGCCCAAGCCCACAGCAGGCAAGACCTCTAGGCTGATGGCAGAGAGGCTCTGTGGGCTAGGCGCAGCATGGGGAGTTGTACATGTACTCGTAGCTCCTGAGTCTCAAGCAGCTAGGGGTGACTGCCAAGGCAGGCATAGGAGCCTCGAGCAGTAAGAAGTTAAGAAATTTTCCAGTGCTACTCTGAGCCTTACTGTTGTCATACTGAGAAAGGGGTTACAGTATATTGTCTGTCATGTTCTCCAGAGTAAATGATGCACTGGTCACATTCTACACTTGACAGGTAGAACACAGTGTCTAGTAGTAGCCATACAGGGTCAGACTCTTTTCTGGCAAAAATCGTAGAACACCCTTTTTTGTGGATCTTAAGGTAGGAGGCTCCAGGTGCACTGCTTTTCCCAGCAGCCCCCCACCGTCTATGACAGGAGCACCTTTGACATTGCTGTCAGGTTCGTGACCACTCGTTCTCTTCCCTTATGTCCTAGGTGCTGCGACAAGAGGCTTTGGACAAAAATTGACTTGAGCAGGTGTAAGGCTATTGTACCACAGGCCCTCAGTGGCATCATCAAGAGGCAGCCAGTCAGCCTTGACCTCAGTTGGACCAACATCTCCAAAAAGCAACTGACGTGGCTCGTCAACAGGCTACCAGGTGAGCAGAGCAGGCCAGAAAAGCATTGGCATTGGCCTAGTTCTGAAAATGGCTTTAGGGCCGTCCCATGCCACTGCTGCCTTACCTCTTAGCAAGAGGTTCACCCAGGCCCATCCTAACTGTCAGTCTCCAAGGCAATCCCTGCACTAGAAGGCCCTACACAGTAGGGGACACTGAGGCACACAATGCTCTCTTCTACTTGAGCGTTTTGGCATCTTAGATGAGGAGTCATCCCACTTTCATTGCTCTGGTGGGAAGTAAGCAGCAATCAGCTTCAGAACCAGAGCCAAAGGGGATGATAGGGGAGATGGTACAGAGCTCGCCCACTGCACTAGGAACCCTTCACCTCCCTCAGCAGAATCTGGTACTGGGTGTTTAGAGAGACTTGGTAGGCACAGTGTGTGATTGTGTGTCACTGTGTCCAACTGTGGTAGGACTGAAAGACCTCCTCCTGGCGGGCTGCTCCTGGTCTGCCGTCTCGGCCCTCAGCACTTCCAGCTGCCCCCTTCTCAGGACCCTGGATCTTCGGTGGGCAGTAGGAATAAAGGACCCTCAAATTCGGGACTTGTTGACTCCCCCGACTGATAAGCCAGGTAAACGGTCTTGGCTTCTTTCGTGGTAGCTTCTTTTCTTTGAATAGGGCCGGTCTTCAGAAGGCAAGGACTCTCTGCTGACACTGCATGAACACTATGAGCAGACAGCCAGGCTAGGTGTATGTGCAGCGGGTGCTAGTTAAGGCAGATCGCTCTCCAAACAGAGAAGTCCATGTGGGACAGTGGAGTTTGGGGCTTGAGGAAGGCCATGGAGGCTTCATGGGTGAGGTGGCGTGTCAAAAGCTGTTTGCATCAAGGTCTGGAACAGAGTGGGGGTGTCGGAAGGGGTGTGGGAAGTGCATTCCGCACTTAGCCTTTAGCAGTTTGAGTAGAGCGTCTTCCAGCAGCTGGTTTCCTAGAAACTGCCCCCACCCACAGCTTGCTCCCTGGAGGCAGGGCTGGGTGTGGGCAGACCTGGCCAGCAGGGAGCTGGAGCTGCTGGTGCTCTGGGGAGGGACTACCGAGAGTTCAGGGAGTCTAGCTCCAGCCTCCTTTCCTTGCTCAAACAGGTCAGGACAATCGCAGCAAACTCCGGAACATGACTGACTTCCGGCTGGCAGGCCTTGACATCACGGATGCCACACTTCGCCTCATCATCCGCCACATGCCCCTCCTGTCTCGACTGGACCTCAGTCACTGCAGCCACCTTACAGACCAGTCCTCTAATCTGCTCACCGCCGTCGGGTCTTCCACTCGGTACTCTCTCACCGAGCTCAACATGGCAGGTACATGGATAAGCACAGCCCTTGTCCTCTTGGTCACAGGGGCTGGAGGGGAGGTGGCAGTGTTGACCACACTCAGGACTAGGAGCTGGGTGGCTAAGGGACAAAGGAGGGCTTTTGTTGTGTGTTTGAAGGAAGAGGAGGACTTAGCGGCAGAGGTTGATTGACAGGGCTGTTTGTTGAGCACTGCTCTGTCCCTTTCCCTGCAGGTTGCAATAAATTGACAGACCAGACCCTGATCTACCTAAGGCGCATCGCCAACGTCACCTTGATTGACCTTCGAGGATGCAAGCAGATCACTCGGAAAGCCTGCGAGCACTTCATCTCAGACTTGTCCATCAACAGCCTCTACTGCCTGTCTGACGAGAAGCTGATCCAGAAGATCAGCTAAGAGCCCTCCAGCCCAGACTGAACAGGAAACGATCTTCCCCACCCCCAGGAGAGCCTCTCTCCCTGACCCTGCACGGGCTCCGAGGCCACCATCACTCCCTCTCTGCTCTCCCGTGTCCCTTGAGCCCGTCCCCTACAGGCAGGGCAGAGGGGGCGGTGGACACCAAGTTTACCTGCCTGCGCCTCTCCTGCCCCAAGGAAGAGGGAGGCGCAGATCAATAGGAGGGGAAAGCACGGGCTATGTGCAGCCGAGGGGCCCGCCTGCCAGGAGGGGTGTTTGTGCTTCATCTGCCCTGCACCCCGGGCCCTCCTCCCACCCGTGGTTCCTGAGGACAGGCTCTCCTGTGGCGTCCAGTTCTCCCGGCTCATGTAGGAGGGGCCACCAGGCCCAGGCGAATCACACTGGTGCTGTTGATGTTCCGGCCTCTTGTCCACGTCTGTGCACAGCCTCCTCTCCTCTCAGCTCAATGTCCTCAACGCTTCTGGTGGTTCCAACAGTGAGGGTTCCCCAGCCCAGCCCCGCTTCCACCCCACCTCCCAACTCCCCACTCGTCTCTCTGAGGTCCTGTTGCACTTATTGGGGATGAGGCTCTTCAGAGGAGCTGGAACTGCCCCCCAGGGACAACCCCTGCTATATTGCTTCCCAGGCAGATTCTGAGACAGGCTTCACCTCCCTGTCCCCATGTTTTATCCTCCGCTGCCCCTTTCCAATGTCCTGGGTTCTGCCCACCTGCCTCCCAGCCAGGCCTCCAGTTTGGAGGACCCCCAGGTGGCCCCAGTGGCTCACTGGCCTGGTACCTCTAGGCAGGCTCCTGCTTAGAAGCCAGTCACCTGCCCTCTGCCTGCAGCCAGGGAAGGGGGTGTGCTTGTGCCTCTGTGTGTGTGGCTGTGTGCTGAGCGTGTGTGTGGAGGGAGGGGGAGGCAGGGAGTCTGGGTCTCCCACTCCACTGCCCTATGTGAGCCCCACCAGCTGCCCCCTGTCACTTTGCATTGAACGGCCTGTCCAAAGATCCTCTCTCTAGGGCAGCAGAGAGCTTTTTGCACTTTAAAAAAAAAAAAAAAAAGGAAAGAAAGGTGGGAATTTTCTTTGGGTCAATATTTAAGTGTTTGGGGAGATGCTCATAGCAGCAGCCTGTGGCAAGAGCTTATAAATGGTCGACGCAAATTTGCACTCTGCTCCCGTCTGTAAGGGTATTGATAGCACAGCGCCCCCACCCCATGCCCCTCATCCTGCAGCCCCTGCCACCCACCCAGTCACAGACCCTCTCAGGGAGGGAGAGCCAAGCCAGTGGAGAGACATGGCCACACCCTTCCAAATTGCTAGGGGCAGAGTCCGCTCTGCTGCCCAGGCTAGCTTTGACTCTGGCACCAACAGGCTTCCTGAGAGAGAACCGGTCAGGGCGACGGTACTGTGTCCGTTTCTTCCCATCTGCTGAATCTCTGCTGCACCTTAGGAATGCCTGTCTGCTCCCCAGCCCTCCGCTCCTTCCGTTGCTCTCCAGGCCCCAGTCATCTGGGGCTGAAACTCCGAGGAAATGCCAGTGACTTATTCCCGAGTGCCTCAGTTTAGGGGACTTCTGTAAAGAACCCTGGGTATTGAGCAAACCCTTATTAATATTATTGTTAATGACCTGTCATCTGAAGCTTCCTGCCTGTTTTGGTTGCTCCTGTGGAAAATACAGAAAAGATGACTTTTTTTTTTTTTTTCCTTGTTGCTTTTTTTGTCTTTTGATAACAAAGGGGAGGTGGAGAGACCCCTTTCAGAGCAGGGATTGTGCCGGGAGAGTGCCTCTGACTTTGAGACATTTCATCTGCAGAAATTTCCAAGCTGATCACTTGTTTGGGGTTTAGTTTTGTTTCTGTTTGTTTCGGGTTTGGAAAAACAAGCATTTTGCCGTGCACGTCAGTCGGTCAACAGAAAAGGGAGCCCGAGCAGGGCAGCTGGACCGGTGCCCTGCTGGCTTGTCCTTTTCTTCTGGACTGTGAGGGGCAAAGGTCTGGTCCACATGGAGGAAAAAAGGAACGGACCTGGGGAGCCCCAGTCACATTTCCTGCAGTCTGCTCTGAGCTCCTGCTATGCCAGGAGAGTCTGACCCCCACCCCTACCCCCACCCCCACGCAGGACCAGGCACCCTGCCTCCATCTTTCCAAGCACCGGCGCGAAAAGCCACAGAGGAAAGGAAGAAAATTTATATATATATAATATAAAATCACTTGGTGATTAAAAAAATAACTGCTCCATAAATAAAACTCCTAAAGTCACTATGTTTAAAGGATTTGGTTGTGTTTTCTTGTTTTTGATTTTCGGAGAAATCTTGTAAATATATATATTTTTTGTGGTTGATTTAGAGTCCGTCTCCAATGCTGTGCTAAAATTGTTGAATTAAATGTAAGCATTAAGGGGCTATGCTTTCAGTGATCACAGCCGGCACACTGAGGTGATTTGGGGCCAGGAGAGGAGGTAGCATCTCCATTATTGGGTTAGAAGGAGTGAGGATAGCTTGCCTCCGACACATGGGAATGGGAGATATTTGTGTAATAAAATGTTTTTAAAGACAAAAAAAAAAAAGAAAGAATAGCCTCCAGTGGGAAATAACTTTGATTTGGGTTTTGTTTTTTTGTTTTTGTTTTTAATAAAAAGGCTTTAAAAACAAGAACAAAACCTCTTCTGCCTTGGTATGTGCGTGCCCGAGAATGTGAGGTCTCCCAGAATCCTGTGCTGGTGGCCAAGGAGGGCTGCCTGCTGTAAACCTGCACTCTTAAACATCAAAATGTAGTGCTTAACTTCCAGAAGCACATTTCACTTCATCAAGGTGAGCTTTCTAATGACTGTTGAGTGAGAAATTTTAAGTCTAATTACCTCACCTTCCCACCCCTCCCCTCCTGCAAAGAAGAAAGGCAGTACTTGGAGATGGGGATGGTGAATGAAGATCTTGACTCTTCCATCCTCACACAGTGCCAGCCTCCAGCCACTAATGTTGCAGAACAGCTACCTTTAGGGTTAGGTGCTGGCCATACTGGGCACCAATCAGCATTTTCCTACCACATGTCCCTGATTGCTGCACCCAACATTTTAATTATAAACTTGTCCAGGCCAGGAAGCCCTCGCTATGCCTTGGGTGTAGTCCAAGTACTGCCTCCCCTCCATCACAGCTGTCAGGAAGGCTGAAGGTCCATCCAGGAGGCCATGTAGAATCATCCTACCTTCAATGGGGCCCAGGTTAACACAGTACCCCATCCCATCCTGTTCCCAAGCCATTTAACCACTTAAGCATCTTCAGTTGGTTGTGCAATAAAGGATGGGGCCTTGGAGATGGACTGACAATGTTGGTTTTCTTGAAGATGGATGTGGACTTGGAAGGGTCAGTTTTGCCTCAAATATATCAGAAACCCATCTGCCTCTTGGTATTTCCATCGCTGTCACTCTACTCTGAGTCACCATTGTCCAGAACCCAGATCGAACTTGTCCCATGAGTGGCCTCTCAGTACAACGACTGTCCTCAATGTTACCCCATGAGGCTATTTTTTTCATCTGCTTAAAACTCACCAATACCGTCTTCATCTCAGGATAATAAAGTCCAACAGTAGCCTGTAATCTGGTCCACAGGCTGCCAAACCCTCATGCTTCATGACTATATTTTTTACCTCTCCTCTCAACGTAGAAATTATTAAACAACATTAAAACCTGGGAGCTCTGTGGCTCTGTAGCACTGGAATGTGAACCACAAGGTTGGCAGTTCAAGGTCGTCATCTACTCCTTGAGCAAAAGATAAGATTTTCTGCTGCTGCAGAGATTTACAACCTTGGAAACCCTCTACAGGGTCACTATGAGTCAGAACCCACTCAACAACGGCACTTAACATGATTAATAGCACACACATTTTCCTGAAGATAATCTTAAACCAGTTGTGACAGTATGTTGACAGAACTGGCAGAAATTTAAGGGAGATTCAGTAGAGGACGTGGAATGAGAAGTGTCATTGTTGATGTCACATGGATCTTGAACTGAAAGCAGAGAGTACCAGAAAGATGTTTACTTGTATTTTATTGACTCTGAAAAGGCTTTCGACTATGTGGATGATAACAAACTATGGATAACATTGCAAAGAATGGGAATTCCAGAACACTTGATTGTGCTCATGTGGAACCGGTAGTCGTTTGAACAAGGGGATGGTGCGTGGGTTTAAAATGAGGAAAGGTATGCACCAGGGTTGTTCCCTTTCACCATGATTATTCAATCTGTATGCTGAGCAAATAATCCGAGAAAATAGAATGTATGAAGAAGATTGGAGGAAAGTGCCTTCACAACTTCCAATATGTAGATGACACAATTTTCCTTGGTGGAAGCAACGAGGACTTGAAGCACTTAACTGATGAAAATCTTAGATTACAGTATGGATTATATCTCGACATAAAAATCTTCCCAACTGGACTAATAAGGCAACATCTGATATGTGGAGGAAAGATTGAAGTTGTCAAAGATTTCATTTTACTTGAAATCACAATCAGTGCTTATGGAATCAACAGTCAAGAAATCCAATGATGTTTTGAGGGGACACATCTACTGCAAGACACCTCCTTAATATGTTAAAAGGAGTCTGGTATGGTACTGCAAGATAATGCACTGGACTAAAAGGTTGGTTTGAACTGCTAGGTCAGCAGTTCAAACTCACCAGCTGCTCCTTGGAAACCCTTAACAGGGTTGCTATGAGTCAGAACCAACTCAATGGCACTTAACTATGTGTTAAAAAGCAAAGCTGTCACTTTGAGGACTAAGGTGTAACTGACCCAAGCCATGGTCTTTTCAATCATTTCATATGTTTGGAAGCTGAACCATGAATAAGGAAGACCTGAGAAATGTTGATGCCTTTGAATTATGATGTTGGAGAAGAATATTCAATATACCGTGGACTGCCAGAACAATAAAAAAAAAAATCTATACTGAAAGAAGTACAGCCAGATGGCTTCTCAGAAGCAGGGATGGTAAGCCTTCTCACATTCTT